GTGTGAGGGGGGGGGAGGGGGAGAGGGAGGGGGGAGGAACAGAGGACCAGTTAGAAACGCAGGCTGTGGCTTCCCAGGTTTGAACTAAAGCTCCTTCTGATTTTATGCGTGAAGGCCCCGGGCAGATTCCTTTTCCTGTGTCCGTTTCCTCATCTGTACTGGGTATAAGTTCAGTCTTCTTAAATGCGCCGACCCTTGTGGCGCCCCGTGCGCCCTACCCGGGGCATGTCCTGTGCGCTGGACAGGCGCCTGCTCCCGCCGCTGAGGCGCGTTGTTTCCTGTGCGTCGGGAGGGCCACCGGCCTCGAGTGGCGTCCGAGCCAGTGTTCCCTTACGGGTGTGTGTCTAGGTGATCTGACCATTATTGGCAGTGGGATACTGAAGCCCCTGACATTATTGTTCGCTGTCCTTCCGTCCCTTCGGACCCTTTAATATTTATATATTTAGGTGCTCCTGTGTTTGGTGCTGATATATTTACGATTGTTATATTGTCTTGATAAATTGATCCCTTAATTATTATATAATGAATTTCTTTGTCTCTAGTGATAATTTTTTACTTAAAGTCTCTTTTGATTGCTATAACTACAAACACCCTAGCTCTTTCTTGGCTTCCATTTGCATTGAGTATCTTTTTATATTCCTTCACTGTCGCCCTGCATACATCCTAAAGCTAGAGCTAGTCTCCTGTAGGCAGCAGACAGTCATGTCTTGTTTTTTATCGTTCAGTCATTCAGTATTTTTTAATTGGAAAATTTAATGCATTTACATTGAATGTAATTATTGATAGGTAATGACTTATTACTGCCATTAATTATTGTTTTCTGATTGTTTTGTAGACATGTTTCTTTCTTCTTCTCTTGGTGTCTTCCTTTGTGGTTTGATGGTTTTCTCTAGTGGTATTCTTTGAATCTTTCCTATTTTTGTTTTGTGCATCTACCATAGATTTTTGCTTTCTGATTATCATAAAGCTTTACACAAAATATCTGATAACAGTCTATTTCAGGGTGATAACCGGTTAACTTTGTGTACAACTATACACTTTTATTCTCTCCCCCAAGATTTTATGTTCTTGCTGTCAGCATTTACAAAGTTTTGTAATATATCTCTTGACACTTTTTTTTTACCTACAGTTGTTATTAACAATTCTGTCTTTTAACCCTCATACTATAAATAAGATTGCTTTAAATACCATTATTACAATTCTAGAATATTCTGAACATAGCTTGTATTCTTATATTACTTATACCAGTGAGTTTTGAAGATTCTTTAATTTTTATGTTCTTAATTAGCAGCATTTTGTTTCAGCTTCAAGAAGTCCTCTTAGCAATTCCTGTAAGGCAGTCGAGCAGTGATGAATTCTGCTAGCTTATGTTCATCTGGGAAAGTTTTTATTTCTCCTTCATTTGGGAGAGACAGATTTGCTAGGTAAAATATTCTTGATTGACAGGTTTTTTTCTTTTTCCTTCAGCTCATGAAATATATTATCCCATTCTTTCTTGGCTTCTCAGATTTCTTCTGAGAAATCTACTTATATAGTCCTATTGGGACCCCTTTTTATGTAATATGTTTTTTATCCCTTGCTACTCTCAGAAATTTTTCTTTGTCTTTGATTTTTGATTGTTTGATTATTATGTGTCTTGGAGAATTCCTTTTTGATTTGAATTTGATTGGAAACATCTATGCTTCCTGTACCTGGATGTTGTCATCTTTCTCCATATAGAAAAGTTTTCAGCTAGTACTTTTTCAAATATACTTTCTTGATCTTTTTTTTTTCTTTTCCTTCTTGAATTCCTATTATGTATATGTTAGATCTCCTGATGGTATCTCATAACTTTCTTGATTCTTTTTCATTCTTTTCTTCTTTTTGTTCCTCTGATAGGATAATTTCAAATGTTCTATCTTCAAGCTCACTGATTCTTTCTTGAGCTTGGTCAAGCCTGCTGTTGAAGTTTCCTAGTATTGTTCAGTTCAGTCACTGTCTTCTTCATCTCTAGGATTTCTATTTTTTTGTTGTTGTTGTTTCTATTTCTTTATCAAACTTCTCATTTTATTATTATCTTCCAAATTTCATTTAATTTTCAAATCTATATATTCTTATAGTTTGCTGAAGTTCTTTATGAGGATTCTAAATTCCTTTTCATTTCTTAGATTTCCCTTTCTTTAGAGTTCATTTTTGGATCTTTGTCAGTTTCTTTTGGAGGTGTCATGATTTTATGTGTCTTTGTAATCCTTCTGTTGTTGCATGAGTGTCTGCATACTTGAGGAGGCGTACACTTTTTCCAGCTTTTGCAAATGTTGTTTGTCCTGGATAGACCTTCACCATTTAGTCTAGTCTAGAGATTCTAGATGACAGGCTGATAATGGCCCTGGGCTGGCAGAGCTTGCTTTTAGGTTCTCTAGGTGCCTTGGCTGCTGTCTTTGTTCAGTGTTTGGGTGGGGAGCTCGCTGGGCTCTGCTATTGGGCGCCACTCTCTGAGCTCTGCAATCAGGCTGAGTTGCTGGTTAGTCCCAGCAATCATCTCCAATCTGGCTGGGCCACAGAGTGCTTTCCCCAGCCAGGTGGTGCCAATTTTTTAGTTCAGCAGCTGGACAGGTCTTCAGGAGGATCCCTGAGGTTAGGTGGAGCTGCTGATCAGGATGGATGGGACTAGCTGCTGGCCTCAGTAGGAATTCATGGTTGAGGTTTGCCTTCTCTGCCCAGGTGGAAACTTTGGGTGGGTTTTGAAGCTGATCTGAGCACTGTTTAAACTCCCATCTGTGGCAAATCTAGCCTCTGCTCCTTTCTAAATTTGCTGTAGCATCTCTCTCCCTGGCTAGAGCACCAGGGTATATCAGAGGCCTGTTCTGGAAGTTGGCCATGTAAGATTTCAAGCCACATGGAACTTCCCTTTACTTCTGGAAGTGACCAGGTCAACTCTGTGGGTGGGCCATGCTGTTAGCTGTGGATTACACAGTTAAACCTCTGACTGGGTGCCAACCTTGCCAAATACCTGGAGTTACCAAGGTGTATGCGCTGGTGACTGTGGGCTCGACCTCCTTGGCTTTGTTTCTGCCTGACCCCAGGTGAACTAGCTGTGTTATTCCCTCCTGTGTTTCCCTTGAGGTTAGAATAAAGTGGGTTCCTGGGAAGCATCCCAGAATGCAAGGGAAGCTGGATGGCAGCCTGCAGTTCTCCTTTCCCTCCGCAGTCACCATGGCCCCTGGGGAGTCATCTCTGGTAGAACTGTGCTGACTTGGAGGAGCCTGAGGCATGAAATGATCAAATGAGACTGCCTGTCTTACCATTTCCATGGGGTTTTTATACTGCTCTGTGGACCACACGGGTGACCAAGGCTTATTTCCAATTTTGAGAGTTTTCACCAAGGTGTTCTTGTTTGTGGACAGTTGCTAGTTGAAATTTCTGTGGCAGGTACTGAAGGCTAGGACCTCTTATTCTGCTGCCCTGCTTACATCCTTCCTCCTAATGTGTAAAAAGCACATCCACCCCCCAGAAGTACATGTTGATACCTGTAAGTATAATTATAACAGTACCTGACACATATTAACTGTTAAATAAATACTAGCCATCATAATTTGGAGGGCATCAAAATTCTGTTTCAGAGGAAAATGCATATAGGCGGTAGCCTTACTAATTTTAGTATTCCATTACTGTCATGTTAAAACTGGTGAGTATTCCAGCTGAGATTTGGCCTAAAATATTCTCTGTACATTTTGGTACTGTTTGATACTATCTTTAAAGTAATGGTAATGATTATTATTATCATTTTCATGAATATTTAATGCAAAATTCAGGAAAGTAAATGTAAAATGCAGTATCCGAACCAGGCTACCAGGCTAATCCAAACCTCTCAAGTCAAGTTTTCAGCAAAACCATAAGTAGGAAATACTTGTCTTCATCTTGTTCTTTTACAATCGCTTCATTAATTTTTTAATTTTTTTTTATTTGTTAGAGACGAGATCTCACTATCCTGGGCTGGAGGGGTCCTCCCACCTAAGCCTCCTGAGTAGCTGGGACAACTGGCAGATGCCCCGGCTGTACCCTCATTTCAACATCCTTCCCTGAATGGCATTGGGACAAATGACCTCCTCCTCACAATAAAGAGCCCTTTGGTCTGCCACGTGACAGACCAGGTGTGAATCACTCAAGCCACATCTTTTCCATGTGCTTTCCAAGTAAGGTACCCTTACGTACCAAGGAACAGCACAAAGGAAATAAACGTTGCCAGCATGGAACGTCTAGGACAGGACCCAGGTCAACGGACACTCAGGTGAATGGCCTTCACAGTCAGTACAGCTGACAGTGTGTTTTAATCTCAGATTCCTCTTTTCGGTATCTTTTAGGACCAAATCTCTTTTCATGAATATATTGGCTTCTGTTCACATTTCAACACAGCTCACTTATTATAATCTGTTTGCCAGCACTTTTATCAATGTCTTAGTTAACATAAACCTTTACTATTACTCATAAAATTACCAAGACTCAATATTTACTTAGCTATCTTTCTGTGGCTATGAATTTTACAAAGTGACTATCTGTAGCATAAAGAAATATTTATTTTACCATGCTTTAAATTTACTAACCTCTTAATTTCCCTTAGTGTCTCTATGAGAACCTTTATACTCAAGCATTTGGAAAGTCATGCTCATTTATCCTGATGCTCATAACTCATTTGAAAACCATAATAACATTTACACTCCTACCAATCACTGGAGTGCTGCCCTAGACCTTAGCAGGTTTAAATGCCAAATTTTAAACCCACAGGTAAAATATTTCATCAACTCATGAGGCTTATCTCTTACTTTTTCATAATTTCTTGAAATACTGTGGATGATTTTGCCATATTCTGCATATGTGTAAAAGCATACTAACACGAGATTACTCAAATAATTTTTCAATTAGATGTTAAATTATGCTTAAAATAATCAAAGAAAACACATTTACACTACATTTTGAAAAATTGTACCTATGCAATTTATATAAGCTATCCTCATCTTGGTTTCACTTAAAAAATATCTTAATATAGAACAAAAGTTATACCCTAATATTTGATCTATAGCTGTTTCTTGGTGGTACTGTTTTCTCAGTTATTTCTGTCATCTTATCATAATTCCTGTGATTTTTACTGTGTTGTCTTATCAGCATCACTATAATTTTTATTATTAACTTAAAGTATTTATGAAGAGAAAATAAAATTGTAAATAATTTTGAGTTTTGTGAAAATGCTATATTATAGAAATTAATATATTCATTTATATTTATCTGAATATTATTCATGTCAATGTCCCTGTTTTTCTGTATTTTTAACAGCTTTCTTGAGATATCACTCATGTATCATACTATTCATCCATTTAGACTACACAATTCAAAGGATTTTAGTGTATTCACAGTGTTGGTTGCACGATCACCACCATAATCCATGTGAGGGCATTTCTATCACTCCAAAAAGAAATCACAGACCCATATCCCCACAATTTCCCAGGAGGGAAGGAGAAGTGAGACGGAAGCAGAACTGCATGACGCAAGGCAGGAGCCATGAGGCAGGGCCACACGTGGCCCAGAGAAGTTGGAAAAAGCAAGGAAACAAATCATCCCTCCGAGCCTGCAGACAGGAATGAAGCCCTGCCACCTCCTTGATTTTAGCCTGTTGCACCCCAGGTCACATTGCTGACCCACAGAACTAAAAGATCATACATTTATTTTATTTTAAGCCCCCAAATTTTTGGTAAACTGTATAGCAGCAGCAATAGAAAACTAATACACCAGTGTATAAAAATAAAATTGATTTTTGTATACTGATCTTCTGTCTTGTAACCTGCTGAAATATTATTTGTAATAGTGTTTTAGTGGATTCCTTAGAATTTTCTATATACAAGGTCTGCAAATAAAGATACTTTTATTTCTACCTTTCCAGCCTGGATGCCTGTTACATCTTTCTCTTGACTGATCGTCTTGTCTGGAGCTTCCTGCACAATTTTGAATAGAAGTGGCAAGACTGGATATCTTTGTCTTGTTTCTGATATTAGGGGACAAACATTCCATCTTTCAACAACAATGTGATGTTAGCTGTGAATTTTTTAAGGATGTTCTTTATAAGTTTGAAAAAGTTCCAATCTATCTCTAGTTTGTTGAGTAATTTTGTCATGAAAGACTGCTGGGTTTTTTCAAGTGCTTTTTCTGTGTCTATTGAGATAATCATGTGGCTCTTACCTGTGTTTTAAGGGAACTCGGGATTTTTTAAAACCCTGTATAATAAGACACACATACAAGGAAATGACTATCGTGAAGGAAGAAGGTTACTTGGAGCTCCCAGAGACAGGAGCTGTTTCTGCCACACAGGGCCAGGTGGGCAGCAGCGGGTCTGCTGGGAGACAGACGGATCCAGGGAAACAGAGGGCAGGGGCCTTGCTGCAGTTTCCATGGGGAAAAATGGGCAAAGCAGGTTAAACAGGCTTAGAATTGGCTAGTTTTAACAATTCCAGCTTGCTTAGAGGCTCTCCTAGTGGCCTAATTGTTGGATACTTGTCCCCGGGGAACGTATCCCTGAGTGTGAGAGCCCAATAGAGGAGGTGCTTGGGTGTGTAGGCTCTGGGCTGGCTGGTATATGCCAGCCTGCAAGATGTTCTTGTAGGCAAGTTGTTTGCTCTCTCTAGGAATCGACTAGGCCTGCAAGGAGCAGTTGCTTCAGAGTCTACAAGGCCTAAGTATAAAAGAATCAAAAATAACAAACAAACAAAACAACAACAACAAAAAAAACATTAAGAAAAAGACATGCTTAAGGACAGGCATGGTGGCTCATGGCTGTAACCCTAGCACTTTAGTCTCTACAAAATTTAAAAAGTTAGCCAAGCATGGTGGTGTGCACCTATAGTCCCAGCTACCCGGGAGGCTGGGGTTGGACGGTCACTTAAGCCCAGGAGGTTGAGCTTACAGTGAGCTAGGATTGGGCAACTGCACTCCAGCCTTGTAGGAACTCAGTAACTCAGGGCAACAGAATGAGACCCTGTCTCAAAAACAAAACAAAACAAAACAAAAACAAAAGCACAACCTTAATACACTCTTCATTCTTTTGAATGGAATATTATATTAATTAATTTTTGGCTATTAAACTGATTTTGCTTCTTAAGATAAATCTCACTTGATTATGCTATATAATCCTTTTTATACATTGCTGGAATTTATTCTATTGAATCATTTTGTATCTATATTGATAAAAGCTATTTGTAAGTAGTTTTGTGTCTTTTTTTTTTCTTTTTATCCCCTTGTGATGACTTTTTCTGGCTCTGCTATCAGGGTAATCATGACCTCACAGAATGAGTGGGGAAGTGTTCACTACTCTTTTACTTTTGGGGAAGAGAGCCTAGAGAACTGATATTAGTTTTTCTTTAAAGCTTTGATGGAATTCACCCATCAAGCCATCTGAGTTTGGACTATTTTTATTTAAAGGTTTTAAGTTACTGATTCAGTATCCTTGCTTGTAATAATAGATCTATTCATATTTTCTGTTTATTCTTGATCCAGTTTTGGTTTTGTTGGTCTTTCTAGCTATTTTCCCATTCTAAACCACTCTGAGCCAATTTTTAAATACATAATTTCATAAAAATGTTCAAATTCATTAGCAGTTACATAAATATCTCTTTAACAAGTTGTATTTCTTTTATGTTGGTATTTTATTTTTTCTGCAAGTAGAAAAGACATTGAGACATTTTTGATATTTTAATCTCCACTTTCTTCTACTATTTTTTCTTGGTAATAGGTGTCACTTTTATCTATTATCTTGTCTCTTTTCATGAATCCTAAGCAAAAAGTTCCTGGATTTTACATAACTGTCACTATTTCTGCTTTCTAATTCATGAATTACTACCTTTGTATTTATTTCCTGGCTGTATTAATTAGAATATTTTAACAAGTCTTACAGAACTGTGAATTTATAACAGAACATTGAGCCATAGTTGGAGACGAGGCAGGGGGACTGAGCTTGTGGGTTCCTTTAGAACATAAATGCAAATATTTATTGGCTTATTTCATATAAAATTGCCTTTTATAGATATAAAAATGTAACCGGCTCCATGAACAAAAAGCCTTTTTGCAGTTCTCTTATGTTTCAAGTTCCCAGGCCTGTAAGATTTGCTGACCAGAGCTTTGTAACTTTGTTTCACTGATCCATTTCCCTTTTGAGTAGGTTTTCAGAAACAGTGAACCTCCTTGAGCCACAAACTAACTACAAGCCACAAGGCCTCACACCACTCCAGCGAAGTCAAGATAAGTGGCATTCCACCACTTAGTAACCTACTCCCCAACACCTGCATGTGCACAAAAGCAAAAGGATGACCAATATTAACCCCTAGCTCATTATACTACTATTAATAAAATCTCTACCTTAGGAGGGGCTTATCTGCCATTTTTTTATCATGCCATGTATGTGCCAGTATGATTTTTCACTGTGCTCGCACACCCTGCACTCCACCTGAACATGCATGATGCTCACTCACTGCATGCATTATTCATCTCACCTCTACAATAACCACGGGCCCAGGTAGGAGGACTTGAGGCAGTCCTCCCACCTCCCAGTGGACATCATTCACCATAAACTTCCTTTCTTCCTTGACAATCCTCCTTGTGTCAGTAACTGGCTTTCTACGTGATGAACAATTAAGCCTAGAAAATAAAATAAAACCTTCTGTGGGTTCATTAACAAAAAAATTCAAATGTTGTCAATTTCATGTGGCTTAAACTTTGAAGTTGTCCACACATATCTGGAGCTTGATCTGTTCAAATGAAACACTCTCTCTCCGTTACTCTTCTATTCCCCACCTCAATCTGCAAAACCGCCCAAACACCCACACAGGAACAAAGTGCAACTTAAGACACCTTAGCTTCTTCCTTAACCTCCTTCTGTACCAGGTCTTGGGCTGCTGCAGATTCTTACATGTTGGGGTGCCCTGTTTCTTATATCCAGCTCCTTCTCTTACCCACAACGTGATCTGGGGTGAACTTCATGTTTTCTCTCCTTTGGATTACTGCCTCTAGTCATTCCCTTTCCCATTTCCAAAATTCATTCTCTATTCTGTAATCAGAGTGATTTTTTCTTAATATAAAGCTTTATATTTTCCTCTGCTTTAAACTCTTACACTGACTATAGGATGAAATTCAAAGTTATTTACAATAGCTTATCTTCCTCTTCAAAGCCTTTCCAATTCCTAGATATTAAGGCATGTTTCTAATTATGCCTTTTTTATTTTCTAAATTTCAGTTAATCCTATGGTGCCTTGATTCTTTTATGATTTCACTGCTTGGACCTTATGTCTGCCTGGAATATTTTTCATTGTTTAGTAGCCCAATAAATGTATTTTTATATTTTAATTCTTAGTGCAAATATCTACTACCCTATGTAGGCTCTTCTGTTATCCTTCCTACCTCATACCTACTAAAATTTATCTATTACATTTACATGTTTTCAACCTCGTAAAAATTCTGTCATTAAAATTGCAGCGTATTACTCATGAAAACATATAGGTGCACACGCACGCGTACAGTCTGCTCCTCTGTCACGGTCTGAGCTCCTTGGGGCGGTGCCAGGTCTCATCCCTGCAGTTGTGCCTGCTGATTATTTTACTGGAGCTCATTCAGAAAGAGTTTCCCAAAAAAGTGAGAAGAGACAGATTTATATATGTGATGAGGTAAAAGCATTGTTTAACAAACAAAATATTTCAATAAACAAATTTGTCTTAACTTAAATATGGATTTCTTAGGACACAGCAGAAGCAGCAAACAGAGGGTTAAGCAAGAGTTGTACCAAGAGGAAAGAAACGACGAATGTGCAGGGTTTATAAATAAATGAGAATCACTGAATAAGACGCAACAATTTTCACCAAGTAGGTCAAGATTTGACATAAATATATATTTATTTTGTACCTAAAATATACCAGGGATACCATATTTTTTTTAGATTTATTCCAAATACAATTCTTATAGAATGAGTAGATTTTTCGTAGTCCAGCTCTATTTCTGTAATGATAATAAATTCAGGGTTACTTGGGAAAAAAATACACCCACAACCTCTTCTTGGCTCTCACGTGTATCTCAGCGAGGCTCAGTACTCCTAAGGTATCTCAAAGCCGACATTTTTGAAGTTTTAACCACCTCTTTGCTATATTTCTTAAATTACAAAGGCTCAAAATGTCATGAGAGGTTTTGTATATTAAGGTTAGTGACTTTCTCAAAGCCAGGTATCACACAGGAGGAAACACCAGGGTCTCCTCCGGACCCTGCATGGCCCGCGCCCCGCAGCCCCCCGCCCGGCGGGCGGGCGGGACCTGCGGTCGTCAGAGGGCGCGGGGCGGGCGGGACCTGCGGTCGTGGGGAGAAGATAACTAGAGGATAAACAGTCTCCTCAGACTGTGAGACCCACTTGTCTCTCTTCTTTTTCTGTTCCTGCGGAATCAGGCAGCTCGCGCTGGAGCAGTGCAGGCTCTGAAGGCTCCGGAGGGACACGCCGGCCCGGCACCGAGGGCGGGCAGAGGGCGCGGGGGCCGAGGGCGGGCAGAGGGCGCGGGCCGAGGGCGGCAGAGGGCGCGGGGCGCGGGGG